GGACCCAGGAGTTGGATCCTCGTGGGTCCCTTCCAACTCAGGATATTCTATGAATTCTCTTACTTAATCAGAGATTTTATGCTTTAAAACAGGGAGCAAAGTGCACAGGTTATTTCAAATGAACAGAGCTATGCATGCTCTATTTCAAATTAACTCAGCTGTGGAGTCAATGTGATAGGTAACGCAAATTCAGGTTTCTTTGGTAAGCCCTGTTTGCTGCTTGTGAATTTCCAATCATGATGATGAATGCTATGTAAACCACAATAGCAGGATACCCTAAAAACATAAATTACAGTTTATTGCACTCAGTGTGAGTTGCCTGCTTAACAGAAAGGAAGGATATTGTCTTGAGTTAGATCCTGCAAATAAAATGGCAATGTGCACTACTGCATTTTTTAATGCATCCTGATTTTTCTCATTTGGGGGAAATATCTGGAACAATAATGGTTATTCAAGATTTGAGCTTGTTTGTTTGTTATAAATCTGTTCTACAAATAGATTCAGTTTTTCACTTCTTTGGTTGTCCAGATGGTTATATTTCATAATTAGAAATATATGTATATATTAGAGATGAAACACTATGCCATCCTAAATAAAATAATAGTGGAATTTTTGGCTCTGGATTCAGTATTCTTATTTGTACAGATAACAGGATAGAAGTGAGCAACAGATGCAACCAAAGCAATTAATCCATGGTTGCAATGTGAGATCGTGGTAGAACGAGGGCAGGTCTTGTAAGTGAAAGGACAGTGTAGAAGCTGCATCTCAACAGGGCTTGCAGATGTTTTGCAAAAAGCAATGTATAGCAGTCATGTAACCCACAGTCAAAGCCTAGTCAGATACCAGCAGCAACATGGGAAGGTGTCAGGCATTGAGTTAGCTGCCTGCAGAAGTGCGACTTTGCCTGAAACCAAGCAGGAGTCAGAATTAGCTGCAGCTGTCTCCCTTCTAGCTACTAACTCAAAAGTCTAGTCTTGAGAACTGGATTGTCTGGCAAGGAAAATAGTAGGATAGCAAGGGGAAGGATATTTGAGGCTTTGAGTTTCAAACCCATGTGTATACGTGCATAGTCATCCACTGTTCAGCTGCATTTTTCTGGGAATTTCTAAGATTAATGGTATAGTGAAAGCTGTTCAGAGCAGTCGATTGCTTAAAAACAGATGCATTTTGTCAGATGAACATCTTGCATATACTTGTTGGGTGCTCTTATTGCATATAATTATTGGGGGGTAAACCATACAATAAATTCTGTAATGTCCCTATTCTGTGGGACATTTCTCCAAACATTTTTTTAATGTATTTCAAGGGAAGATGTTAATCATTTACATCTTTTGGGTTATTTAGTCAAGGTGCATTCTTTATACACCCTTCCAAGGACATATGCAGAATTTATACTCTCATTAAGTTTTATACTTATACATTTAGGTATGGAAGATGAACATGGGAAAGAAAGTCCAGAACACTTTTCCAATGAACTCTATTAGAAGTAAACTAGAGACTTACAGGAAACAAAGAACATGTCCTTGTTGTTTATCCTTTTATTTTCAGAACTGTAAGGAAGAACAAATAAACCAGAGCAACAAAAAGTCTGAGCTCTGTTTGGGTCCAGCTAGCAGAGATCAAAAGTCACACCTCCCACAGAGAAATAAAGTCCACCTAACTGAATTTAGAAGAGTCAACAGCACCCACTTGGCCACAGAACAGTGGTCAGCATTACAGCTTCCAACCGTTTGGGGAGGCTGGGGAGACAGGGGTGGGTCACCCAATTCTAAACAAAATAAAAATTAAAAAAAAAAATAGTGTCTTGTTGTCTTTAACACATATTGAGTTTACTTTCTTGTAAAATGCTCTTAGGAGAAATACTGAGTGCAAACTATTCTATTGCATTGTGCTTGATTACTATGAAGCACATATCTTAGAGAGGGTGGGCCCCTGGCAGGTTGTCTGATGGCTAGGCTCTCCCCCAGGAAACATCATTAACTTGCAGGGCATTCCTAAAGATCTACAGATGTAGAAAGTGGAACTATCTTTGAGGGGAGACAAGTGATAAAAATGGTAAAACTTACAAAAAAAATAATAATAATAATAGAAAACTCTATAGATTTCTACTGAATTTTACTTGATTTTATCTGAATTTTTACTCCATTATTTTTATTGATTATAGTTTGGGTCCCTTCAAGTAGAAGAGCACTTACATTTAATCAGGTTTTAATATATAATGTTGGCTTTCCAGTGTTATATATATTGTGACAGTGCAAAGTTAAAATTAATTGAATATGGTATAGTTGGTGTCTGGTAAAATGCTAGAAGGATAATACTGGAACTATAATAACAGTAACAGTAGCATTTGTGAAAGTCTGAAATAGTGTTATGCCTAAGAAGAGTGCTTTCAATAACTCATGCTCACAAAGACAGCCATACAGGGGAAGCAAACAGCAGAAATAATTTCAGGTGGAAAATGAACCAATAAATATTCCATAACCTATCTCCAGCTTTTTTCAGAGATTATGATGGCAATTAGGACAGTATATACTGTTTCTTTGATATTGTCTATTGCTGCCAGGACTCCATGTTCTGTTGGGATATTCAGTTCATTATATGCAGTACGTTCAAATCATGCTTTTTAAAGTATTTTTTCTGTTAGAACTACATCAAATGAAAGCCATATTGCTAGCTTAAATGTAATTCAGTTCATCCTTGTCTCAGGATGTTTTATATATGTGTAAAGGGAAGGAAATGAAAAGATTAAAAAATATATTGGTCATCATGTGTGTTTTTTAATGTCATCAGCACTACCATAAAGCCAGCTGATAAATTGCATGCTACTCAGAAAAAAGAAATAGAATAAAAGTAGTGTTATATTGCACTAGATTAATCATAGCACTGGGTTACCATCATTCTAAGGAAAATAAAAGCTTGACTGTTTCAGATTGTAAAGTTTCTTCTTCTCAGCTTTTAAGATTATTTGCCTTAAGAGGCAAATAACCTTAAGAGGCAAATAACCAGCCCATGTATTGAAACAAGAACATGGGATTTTGGGCCAGCGGGGTTGGTAAATTTTTATCAATGTTTCTAAATGACAGCAAAGCAGCATTGGTGGCTTGGATCCAGATGGTTAGCAGTAACGCTTCATAACAGTAATCTAATGAAGCTTTTTAGTGCTGGTGACAGGTAAATGCTTGAAAGGTTTATGGCAGGGAAAAAGCTCTGATAAATAACTTGAAACTCCGTCTCTCTTCTTACTTGCATAATTATTGCTTTTTAATAACATAATGGTACAACAAAGCATAGGTGACGAAACAGTGAGAAAACAGGAACTCTCTAGAGCTAATAGGATATACAATAGAACCGCAGGCCTCTTCTTACTTCTTGTAAGCTTACTTCTTGGCTACTTAACAACCATTGAAGACTTAGGGAGAGGATTTAAAAATCCTTTTCATGTAGTTAGTCTGTCCAGGGATCAGCAGCTAAAAATAGAGGAAGACCAAGATTTTTCTCTATACAAGTAGAGAATAATAGTTTCAGAATATTTTAACTGAAAGAAAAAAGTTCTGGGATCTCTCACATGAGCTTTCACTCTAATTCTGTTTACCTGGAAAAGGTACAACCAGAAATCTGGCACTGCCTTTAAAACAAGGGGGAAATCTGATGGCTGTCTGCTTCAAAGAGAAAGAGACCAGTCCTGAAGGGACCTTGATATTTCTGATGAAACCTTTTTCTTTGGAAAACTAGGTTGTCAGTAAATTGAATTTTTAACATAAATCTTCCCTCCCCTCCCCCCCCCTTTTTTTTCTGGGGAAGAAAAAGGTAGACTTAAAATACAGTGGAGGAAGAGGAAATTGGTTGAAAAGAATATCTAGAAATTTTTCAGATTTTTATCAGAGGTCTGCCAGGTTGTGTCAGCAGTTTTTCTTCAGTTATAGAAAATTATATGTGTTACAGAAAAGAAAAAAAAAAAAAAAAAAAAAAAAAAAAAAAAAAAAAGAAAAAGAAATTGGCAACAAGATTTTTTTCATGACAAAATTAAAATAATAATAATAATTTAAAATTAATAATAAAACCTTATGTTGGATATTTCACTTAAAAAAGAAACTCTCTGTTCCTATTAACATTTTCTACTGTTAGTTTTCCAAACAGATGTGACTGGGAAAGCATTGTCAGTTTTCCTGTGGGTAGGTGGAGCTGGTATGTCTGGTGCTTCCCTGTAGAATCACTGAATGACCAGCTGAAGCTAGTAGCGTTCATGGAACCCATAACAGGATAGAGATTTTTAGATGTGATCTGCCTCAGGCCTCTGAGTGACCCTCAGAAGCATTGCTGACACTGTATTTTTGCTGTTTCACACTGTGGCTGGAAAAACAATAACAGAAATCAAGGAATATGCAATTAAAGCCTAGAATATGTACACAGAAATTATAATAAAGTAGATAATGTTAAAACCACTGAGGAAAGACTCATCAACCTGGTAACAATAAGCATTGCTGAAAGCACACACTCAATGTAAATGGTGCAGAATGAGATGCATAAATAGTGCAATGGGACTGAGCAAAGAATCTTACATGCAATTTATTTAGATTGAAGGTTATTATGCAAATAAAGCATTTCATTGCAAAGTGTCTAAGAAGCATTCTTATATTTTCTACTGCTAAAAGAGAAAGTATCCAACAGTTGTTCAAATAGCATTACTGAGGGGAAGCTTACTTCAACCTCAACAGCTCTTGCTTGATTCACTGTGGTTATTTTGGGCCTTGTGGCCTAACTCAGGACTGCTGCACAGTCCTGGTTGTCTACTGCTGCGGGTCCACAATCAGCCCATTAGCCCTCAAAGTTTTAAGGTGTGAAAATCTGATGGATATTGATATTTGACTGATTTGTGAAAAAAAACAAACAAACAAAAAAAAAACACAGCTCATTTACCCTGTAGTCTTGGCTTCCTTTTGAGGATCTGCTGAAATAAATACTCTGTCTTCATACTAAAGCAAACATTTCTTGTTTCTCAGTTTCTACAGATAAAGTGATGAGATGCCATGTGTGAATCCCCTGAAGGCTGAGAAGAGAAACTCTGACTTCCCAACAGAAAATTGTGAACCGTGGTTTCTTACTGGCTAGCAAGACCTTTGATTCAATTTGTACAAAAATGCAATTTACTTATTAAAAAGGACATTACTGTTAAAATATTAGAAATTCCATTTCTTATATGTTCTAAGCTGTACAATTGTCAGATTTTTATGGTTTAGATTGTAAATGTGTTTTTCTCTGGCTAATTATTGGTATTATTTTTTTAATTTTGATGTCTTAAAGGCCAATGTACTGTATCATAATAATATGAAGGACATATTTAACAGGTGTGAGAAACACTGTATACAAATGTATATTTCTAAAAGCTATTTTTATGATTAGCATGTTTTACCATATTTAGAGTCAGGTGATATTGCACTTCTTTGTTTACAGCTTAATTCAAACAAGATCATTATAATTAGTGTCACACTTAAATACATTGTATGGTATTTTCCATTATTTTTTATTATATTTTGCATTTAAAATAATCATGTTTACTAATAGAGATAGCTGATAAAAAGTAAAAATGACAAAATATGAGAGCAATCCTTGATAAACTGTAAATTGGATCCACTTGTTAATCCCTTTAATCAGATAAGTGCTTTCTGTGATGCCACTCACTAGGCAGTTTTTACAGCCGTATCTGCAAATCTCTAAAGGCAGTTTTTTGTTACCATATGAGAAGTTTACATGGGAGCAAATTTCCTGTCTAGCCAGGTGCATTACTTATAGGCTGTCAATACCTGACAGACTAAGTTGTCTTACTAATTGTTTTATTGGTTGTTTTATTTTTTGGCAGTAGTCTTTCCACTCTCAAACTCCTAACACCTTTCTAGAAGCCTGAAGTTGGAATAATTAATTATTACAGATGTTGTAGGGGTAATCTCAGCATAGAGCTTCTCAATAAATATTTCCTTTCAAACAGAATAGATGGATTATTTCTCTTGCATTACTGAGATATTAAGGGTATCATAGCATGTATGATATGGGTACAAGTATGGGTACTTCGCTGAGTAGCAACTTGTTCATCATCCCAAAGCTAGGCCTCCTCAATGCTGCAGATGACATGAAATGATGAAGAGATATTTATTTACATGAGATATACTCCTATAGAAAGAGACATGTCTTTAAAGTAATTGAAGGAGGAAAAAATAATTTAATAGCAACAGCCTTCCAAGAGTGAGAGACATCTTGGAAGATGAGAGATGAGACATCATTTACATATTTATGCTATGTAAATACCCTTCCCAGTCAAATGAAGCTCAGACCTCAGTTGTGTGGCAATCTGAAGCTTATCAGCCTTGACTGATGTCTTTGTCAGGGTATCTGGTGTTTGGTTTCATCCAACACCACACAGATGAACCCTATATGCTAAAGAAGAGAAGAGAAAGAGAAAGAGAAAGAGAAAGAGAAAGAGAAAGAGAAAGAGAAAGAGAAAGAGAAAGAGAAAGAGAAAGAGAAAGAGAAAGAGAAAGAGAAAGAGAAAGAGAAAGAGAAAGAGAAAGAGAAAGAGAAAGAGAAATACTATAATAGATCAAATTTTCAATTTCTATAAAAAACAGCTGTTTGTGAGATGCTAGGTTCACTGCCAAAAAGTGGGGTTATGAGGAGGTGGGAGCTCAAGGACTCTGGTCAGGTTTCCAGCATGGAAACCATCATCACAAGAGTGATACTCTTCAAATATTTGGAAGAAGAGCATATATTTGAATTAAATTATCTATAGATGAGTGGGAATTTACTTCACTAGATTATGTAACATACTACTCTCACTTACATTTGTGTATCTTATCTTTAGCTTGTATATTGTCTGTAGAGTTACATGAGTTTACCAGAGAGCTGAGTAGTATCTAGCTACTTAATTAAGGAAAGAATAATATAAGTAGTTACACATGAACATTAGCAATTGCAAACTCAGAATATGCCAAAGGTGACAGACCCAGAGAAGTAAAAAGAAAAGATACTACTTCTGTGTAAGTGGAATGTTAGGTCAAATCAAAAAGTGAAATATTTCTGCACTTTCTCCACTATTTCTCTGCATAGTATAGGTTATGATCATTGTTAACGGCAAAAATGCAACAAAAATAGTCACTTCGGGATCTTCATCTTTGGCTGACAGTTAAAATAAGTCCAAATCTTAGCATCTGAATGGGCATTTTGCCCATTTGAGTTATGTAAACTGCTGGCTGATTCTGAAAGATGCAGAATGTCATCCAAGAAACAGATCAGTTTTCATACTGGTGTTAATAGTTACATATGGGAAACAGTTAGGTGTGTTTACCACCTCCATTCTAAGTGATCTAATAATCTATAAAAAACACCCTTAGATTTTTACAAACATCTTTCTAAACATTATCTTTAGAGTATATATTCACAGAAATGATTTCACAGTCTTAATATCAACCCTTTTTCACACCACAGCTTAAGTTCAGAATATATTTCAAACACAAAAAGAAACCTTTGATAGGTGCCATCATAAGGCACTGTTTCATTTGCAACACAGAAGCTTGTTGTGCCAGGCAGTCTATTCCTAGCAAAGTCTCTTAATGGCATGTTTGCTTCAAATCACCACAAGGGATGCTGGTAGCTCCAACAAAGCTTGATAGTTCTATTCTTGTCATGTATGCAGTATGCTCAGTGTTGTTTGCCATTAATACATGTATGGTACATCTTTACATTGGTTTTGTTAGTTTTGTTTTTTGTTGCTTGGGTTTTTTGTTTGTTTAATATTGCTCATCACTTGCAATATGGAAGAATAGAAACATAAAGAATCTTCTCAAGAAGCTTGGCTAGTCAACAGTCATATAAAATGCTTTATGGGCAGTCCTGAATTATATAAATTTATTTTTTACAGAGACCTACATGCTCTGTGTATTTCAGATATTTGTTTCAAGACTGTGCAGCTGCGTGAATGGAAAATATTTACTAAAAAAGCTTTAAAGTTTGGATCAATCGATAAAAAATATTTTTACTTTTGTAAACTCTTATATATTGCTGCTGTTCTTATTGTTTTTCTCTGTAGATCCACTTTTTGTTCTGAAAAAAAATATGTAATTAAACTATGTAGATAACTACAATATTGTAAGCCGTCATGTTTTTAATCAATACCACTGCAAGTCAAAACTAAAGTATTCAGGGTTTGCCCATGTAGAGCAGATTAATGAGTCATTACAGTTTTCTTTAAAATGCTGTAACATAATTTTTACATGTCTGTAAATAAATATTTTCTCTGATTTATGCACTAATTCAATTTTGTAATTTCTTCTGCTGAACTGTGACTCTAAGGAACTTTCCAGTAAAATTATGTTTCTCTCATGGAAAAATACCATTTAAAGTTCTGAGATAATATGGTGCTTCACAGACTTTTGAAGAAGTAATAACGAAAATAGAAATCCATAGTAGCAAGCACTTATTCTTAAATAAATAGAAGGATAAAAATGTGGTAAATGCTGTTACTATTTTAACTGTTTAAAAAACTTAAAGACCATTCCTGTCTTTAAAAAATTTCTGAGAAGAAATGTAACAACCTTCTTGAAAAGAGGATTTGATGGGAGGCTGGAGGGAAGGGAAAGCAAGGTCCAGTAAGTTTCACAGGAATTGCACAGAATTTACACAAATGAAGAATACATTTTATTCATCTTGGAATCATGTATTATCAAAACAGCATGAATATAATTTATGAAAAACATGTAAAGAATCATTGTTATTTTTCTGTTCAGTATTCAAACTTTTTTTTATTTATTGTTTATAATTTCATTCACAAGGTGCCACTATTCACAAACTAAGAAAAATTGATCTGTGAAGTCTATGAGAAAGGTTTTAAAATGATACTGGAATTGTTGAGAACCAAGACTGTCGTGAAATACATATGATTTATTAAAATGTGTCATCTTTATTGTCACAACTATGCCAGATTTTCCACAAATTTCATAAAATTTATAAACATTTTAATCTTATTATATTGGATACAGGACCATTTTCTAATTCAGAAAAAGACACTGCTATAGATTAAATAGTAGCTGATTAAAATAATTCCAAATTCCTTTATAGTGGAAAAGGAAGTCTGAATGCTTTAGTTACCAGAAATTTCCAATGTCCCTTTTCAAAAAAAAATCCTTAGTGGTCTAGAAAATTTAAATCAGTAATGTATCTGTTTTGAGAGGAAAATGGATAATATCTTTTTTTTTTTTTTTTTTTTTTTTTGCACTTGTATGTCAAGAGCTTATGCGATTAACATCATCAAGAAAATTAACTCTGTTAATCTTAAATTATGCATTGGATGGTACTGAGCATGAAGGCAATTCTTGCTGAAGTTAAGACATCAATCCACATGTTAGATGGATAAGAAGTCAAAGAAATTTACCACTTTATAGACACAGAACCATTCTGAGACTCAGTGACTGCAGGAACAAAGAAAAATATTTCTGAGTTTTGAAATTGTTGGGAAAACCACTGTAAAAATAATGCAATATTATTAGAGGAATGGTTAGAGGATTTTTCCATTAAGGTAGCGGAATCCTGTCTCTGCTGTAAGAGACTTACAGGATGGCTCTAAAGCAAAGAGTTGAAAAGATTTTCTCACTAAATTGTTCCTTTTGAGACAGTAACCTTATGTCTGCATAACTTCAGGCTTTTAAATAAACATGTAGTACTTCTCCATAGTAAGATCTCCTTAAAGTCACCCACTCAGATCCAGCAGCTTCAGATCAGGAAAAAATAAATATATAAAATAAAATCTCTATACAGCTAGGCTTCCACACAAAAGGAAAGATGATATATATATTGAAGCTAAAGACATTTGGACAACCTAAACTACACAAAAAAATGTCTGATTTGGTCAGTGTGTGCCGATCTTGAATCAGCTAAGGACAGACCTGACTAAGGTCTGTCAAGACTAAGGTTTATGTCAAGAGAAAAGAATTTCTAGCCAAGGATATGACTAAAGTGGCAGGAAAGATTTTGTACACTAAGTAAACCCAGCACAATTTGACAAGTTAGTGCCCTAGCTCTGAGCATTCTCACCAGTGAAATGTTTGGACATGAGGAAGAGAGAGAGAGAAAGTAAAGACATCTGCATATATCATTTACAGCCATTACAAGCAACATCACTGGAAAACTGATAAGAAAAGTGCTTAAAAAATCACAGAGTGCTATAGGAAATAATCAGTTATTGTTTTTTTGGATGGTGGGGTTATTAACTTATTAGAGATAAAACGGACTGATGTTTTACATCGATACATATTTTGGGGTTGCTATAGTGAGTATTCATTTGGTTAACCTCTCAAAGAAGGGTTGCTGTTCCATACTTCTGTGAACAGAATTAATCCACAAGTATCACATCATGTTTCTCAGAAAAACTAGTTCCCATATCATCCCATATAAATCCAGCTTACCAAGAAAAAGTATTTCTAATGGTTACATTTAAAACTTCTGAATACTATCCAGCTAGGTATACTTAACAGCTAAGGTAATGAGAAGCTTTGTGTGACCGCTCAGTGGTGTATTACTATATGTGAATGTCTATAATGCATAGCTATGTATATAGGTGGAAAAAATCTATTCCTCCATTGCTTTGTGCTTTGGATAATTAGAAATTTTTCTCCTCAACTAGAGACAGCTAATGTTGTGGAAAATAAGAATTGAACTCATCCCGAGGGTAACTGCTGATATCAGTCATTAAGTGAGTACCTTCAGTGCTTACTCTCACTGGATACTTAAGCAGAAAATGTAATTGGTGTTCACCCTATAAGGAGTTACAGCAACAGTTAGCATATTATTTAAAGAAATATATATATATATATATGATAATGTAGATTGCAGTTGCTGATATTGCTCCTGCTGCAGTACTATGTATCAAGAAGTCCAGAAGCACAGCTTTCTTCCCCATCTTCCACAGACCACAGCAGAGGAAGGAAGGATACACAGCATGGTAGGGCTGCAACCTGAATGAAGTGATTTACCTGTGGATGACAGGAAATCAGTGAAAGAGGATGTGCCACTCACTTTGACTTTGAAGAAATACCCCTCACATTGCTTTCTCAGCATGTTTAGTGGCTATTAATTTTCATGTCTCTACCTGTGATGCTGATATTATATTTTCAGGGGCTAAGCCTCCAAAGTTTGGGGTGATTATGATTGAACTTCATAAGAACTCATTTCTCCAGAAAGCAAAATACACGGAAAGTTAACTCCTTTCAGTATTATGGCAGTGTTTAATCACTTGATGGAATAGTGATTTAACAAAGGTTTGTTTACCTGAGAGGTTACATTAGCAGTATGCTTCCATTGACGAGGAAACTGTGGGTGGGATACCAAAGTTTCTGACACAATCTTCTGACCAAACTCCAATAAAACATTCCGTGGTCCTGTGAGGGAACGGGCCATGTAATCTAGCAAATATGGTAACTGGACACTACCAGGAGAAAAATTATATAGACAGCAACCCAGGCTCTAACCACATCCGTTAAATGGCTGATTTTGTGCCAGAGGCAGCTGGATGCTTTACATTGTATTAGCCTTTCTCCACAGGTAAGTGATTTTATAGATTTTCAAAATAGCTTTCATTGTGAAAAATAGGTAAAACAGTTCAGGTAAATGAGGTAGCACTAACTTGAATCAGCATAGAATCTGGCTTAATTTTTTGGAAAGTTATTTCAGTTTTAGTTATTTAATTCATTCATTTCCAGGATAAGTAATTTTTACAACCTCTAATGCGTACAGGAAGACCACAAATATTTATTTTCAAAATATTTGCTTTTAAGCTTTTAAAGCATATTTTCTTAATCTAATTTTTCTGACTTTCTACTATACTAAACTAAAACTCCCACAGAATTATCAAAAAAATAAACTTTTAGCAAATATGACATTCAGAAATTATTTGTAAAAAGTTTTTTTAATTCATAAACACACAAAAAAATAATGAAAACAGTAGAGAGGTATTTTTTTATCTTGAAAAGTAGAATTTATAAAAATAGGAGAGCTTTCAGGTAAGTCTATTTGATTTTTTTCTGATTTGCCCTTAGACTAAACTTATATGGTTTGACCATCCCACCTTCAATAACAATGCTGTTATTGCAGCAAATCAAAATTGATATGTTCTTATGGATGGAGCTTAACCACTACTCATATATCTAGTCATTCCAAATTCTGATTTATCTATTTGATATACAAGCCTGTTTGCACAACATATACATATATATACATATATATAAATCAGGGTATGAAACAATGAATTGGGGGTTGTTTTGGTTTTAGTTTTGCCAACAGACATAACAAGTTATCTCTCATATTCTGTCCTCTACCAGTACTGTACTTAACACGGGAGTTTTATGCAATGTGTAGTAACAGGCAAATAAATGCCTAGACATTTCTTTCCTTATTTTTTTACAGTACAACTTTCATTGGTATATGCCATAAAATTTACTGGGTTTGTGGCGACACATTGCATTATTTGTGATTAATGTATCAGTGTGTGAAATGGTGTTTTACAAATCTATTCACTGAGTGCTATTATTTAAGGAAGCAGGCCTCAGAGAGCAAGTGTCATGCCATGTCTCAGGAACACAAAAGTGGTTTTTTGACAGCAAGCTATATAAAATCAATTGTGATGATTTCAAGGATGAGTGACCTTTCAGATTTTGATATTTCTCCATTTACGTGAGGACCATTCATAAGTGAATTTCATGTTCTGAATGTTTTTTGCAGTAAGACAATAAGGTAGAACTGTAATCACAGGAGGACCTCACAGTATCACAGGAACTGTAATAACATGAGAGCTAAATGAACAATTTGTTCCAAGAAGGTTTGAGAAGATCCAAGGCATGTCACAATATAGCGTGATAGCAAGAGACAATAAGAATAATGGCAAAAATCACTGCCCATGGAATTGCATGCAGGTAGCCAAGTAGGCAGCTGACTGCTCTATCAGATATTGACTTCAAGTAAAAGAGAAGCTCTGTGTAACTCCATGCAATGCAGAGCTACAAAGAGAGCACTTCTGCTGCTTACTGAAGTGAACAAAGGACCTGAGAAGATGTTAGATTTCCAGTCGTTTCCTCAGACAGCACTTTTCAAAGGTGTCTTTCTACAGTGGACAAGTTCAAACTTTTTTTCTACCACCTTCATCTCCTCTTTGGGTGCATTTTTTCCCATTTCTTAAAGTAAAAACTTTTTCAGAGAAGAAAAATGCAGTGAAGTGGTCTCCTAGGAATAAAGAGCATGAATGGGTAGGTATGTGTGCACATAC